GGTTATCAACAAAACCCCAAAACCCCAAAACCCCAAAACCCCTCTTACTCGAGTTAGAAATAAAATGAGAATATATTAAAAGGTTTGATTTTATCTAGGAATAATTTAAGATTTCATAAAAGCATCATTATTTGAAATGTAGGATTTAAAGTGATTTAAATTAATAAAAATGAGCAGCAGAAATGAGAGCCCAGCTTCGCAAAGTCTCGAAGATATCACTAAAAAGGAGCAATTAGACGAGATTTTTGACAAGCATCAGCGATTCAACTTTAGAAAATTAAATTTGCCTCCTTTGAACAAGGACCATCAGCGGGCGCAAGAGTCGCAACCAAAAGATTTATCGCATTAAATCAGAAATAGCCAAGCCCCTGGGTCAACAGCAGTCTAATTCAGGAATAAATAAGTGCACCCCGAGTAATCGGAGGAACCACTGTCCCCAGCCGAGAGTTACAAAAGTCAAAGCCAAAGAGACCATGAAGCTTCGCAAAGGGATGCTCAATCGCACACTCCCACAAACTAATCTCAAAATAATGCCCAAGATATGTCCTCCTCAGCTGCAAAAGAAATAAATACTCCAAAGCATCTCAATTCAGGTACCACTGCCAATAATCTGCAACTGAGCAGTATCGACCAGAGAAGAGCTAGGAGAAAGTAGCTTAATCTTAGAGAGAATCTTTCACCTCAGCAGTTACAAATGAACTCTGACTACCTTAATGGCCATGGAGCTGATTTTGATCATAGAACAACTGGTCGGTGGTCAAGAGAAGAACATGAAAAATTCATTGAAGGTATAAAAATTCTTACTAATTTAAATTCATTGTTTCTTTATTCTAGAAATCATTTCTCAATATCATTTCAACATTTATTTAACCCCTATTCCTTTAGCTATGAGCATTTATGGCAGAGATTGGAAGAGAGTGGAAGCACATATTGGAACTAGATCTGGCGCCTAAATTCGAAGCCATGCCTAAAAGTTTTTTAACAGAATTGAGAAGGAATTAGGTGCTGATGTGGAAACATATATAGAGTAAAAAGCCAAAGCAATTTTTGAGAGAAAAAGCAAATTGCAATCTGGGATATTAGGGATTACAGGTTTAAGTGCTCTTAATGAAATTGAGCACTCTGACAACGATCATATCGATGACAACAATGAAATTTCTCATCCACCAGTTCTAGTCTCACCTAGAAAATCCACAAACATGATTGAGATGAAACCACCGATCTTTACGAGAGACAGGTCAATCAGTCACACTTTTGGAGTGGCTGATCTATTAGCATAAAATAACACCAATAATGAATAACCTAAAAATGAGATGTCATCTGCTGGTTCAAAGACAAGTATTAATAAGTCTCAAAGTAGAGGAGGCCCTCAATAATAGAATTTACAATATGAACCATCAAAATTTTCCTTAAAACAAAGCAGATAAAAAAAGAATAAAGAAAGACAAATTTATGCTTTTTCCCCACAAATAACAGCTGTTAAAAAGACAAATGAAGCTGAATTAAACAATAACATTCTATAATAAGTTATCAAAGAATCTTTCAATAACTATCAGAATCCATAAGAAAACTCACCAGAGATAAACATTAAAGAATCATCTAACCCTGAAGAGTTTTTCACGAATTTTGATAAGGAAAGATGTTTAATCTATAACTAAATTCTCCTCGAGTTCAATGACAATGTGTCCTCACCAATTAAGCTTCAAATTTATCTCGAACTATTGCAATCTCTATATAATAAGCTAGTTCAAACATACACTAAAGAGTTAGAGAGGGATACTAGTATGACAAGCCAAATTCGTCAAAGATATCTAGCTTTGATCCTAGAATTTACTAATAATATCTCCTTAGTACAGCAAATCTAATCTTTCTAAGCATTGTCAGCAACTATTGATAATAAAATCTAGCAAAATATTTAATAGACAGCTTCCTAACCTAGACATAGCTTTAATGAATTTAATCTTCAAGCCTATTTATCCAATAAGCAACCAACTACATCAGGGGGTACTCTTACACCACAGTCTATTAATAACCAAATTTTAAATAATATAGTGGGTTTAACTTAGAATTACAACAATAACAACCTAAATAACTTAGCAATAGAATTACTATAGCTACTGTAGAATAATCAAAGAACTAGTACTAGTCTAAACTCTCGTAAAATCTCAAATGATTGGATGGATAGATCACATTCTTATGAGCCTGCTAATAATAACGAGCTGTCATTGAACACCATTGGCCAACATATTATCAATTCATTCAATTAAAATGACGAGGCTAAGAAAAGAATAATCAAAGCAGATGAGAAGCATCAGGATAATTTAAGAAAAACCCAAATTCTCAATTAAAGTGCAAACAATAGCTTCAGTAATGCAAACATAAATGCTGCTAATAACTAGAACAACTAAAGTAGTTTTTTAAGTCAAATAGGTGCTGCCTTAGGAGCAAGTAATAATCAAGGCTTCAATCAAGTTAATAATTCTAATGCAAATAAGCAATCACTAATAGGATCCTTTAAGCCCAGTGGAGATAATGACTTCGCACTATAAAGTATTAAAAGATTAAGAGGACTTTCTAACAATCTTGAGCCAGAAAAGATTAGTCCTGAAAGAATTTAAGTTTAGTAGCCCTTACTAAATAATGTTTCAAATAGCATTTTGAATAGTTCTAATTTTTTAAGTGCTGCAACTAACAATCAAATTTCATCGAATAATATTAATAATGAAATGCAAAGTACGATTTAATCTCTTATGTAATATCTGGGAAGTCACCATAATACTAATGGCAATATGAACCTTGGCAGCTTAGTACCACCTAATAATAATTTAGCTACTCTTCAAAATCTAAACTCTCTATTTGGGTAAGATGCAAAGAAAAATGAAAACTAGAGTAACTATTGAGTTGGAAATATCAATTTGTAATAATAGATAAACAATAAGTAGGAGGGTGGTAGATGATCATTAATGGATCACTAGCAAACCTAGGCCTCTAACTATTATCAAACTTTTATATGTATAGCAATAATATAAGCCACTTATACACCTAATAATTATTAAGTCTAATTCCTAAGAAATAAAAATGATTCTTTTTTATTGTATATTGTTACATCTTTTTTGTTATGGGGTTTTGGGGTTTTGGGGTTTTGGGG